CAACTGGCTCCAACTCAGCACAGGAAAGCGTGGGACCCCTGCTCCAACCTTGGGGAAGGCGTGAAGGTTCCAGGAAACAGTGCACATCAACCCAGCCCCGCCCATCCAGTTCCTTTCACCTGTGGGGGCTCCTGACCTCACCAAAAGCCAGAATCTGTGGGGGAAATGGGGCCGATACGGGGAATGCTGTTGGATGGAAGAGTTGAGAGGGATGGAGTGTGAGGCCAGGTGGGTGGGCCTGGACCCTGGGCAGAAGGAGGACCTGGCTGCCCCTGGCATCTTAGTTCTAGGCCAGTTCCCTCTAAAGGGGGGTTAATCCTACTTCTGTGCACTTCACAGAGTCCTGGTGGGGAATCCCCTTCAATAACCAGGAAACAAAGACTGAAGGTATATATTTCAATGGGACAGACTGTTCTTTAAGTTGTAAGATAAAACCACCGTCCACTGATTTGCATCTTGTAGTTTTTTCAATTCTGCTTCCCACCACCCCCCTCCCCACACTGCAATGAAGGAAAAGCAGATATTTTTCAAAGTCACACCATATGAATGCCAGGGACTTTTTATTTTTTCTTTTTTAGAGATGGGATCTCACTCTATCGCCCAGGCTGGAGTGCAGTGCTGCAATCATAGCTCACTGGGGCCTCAACTTCCTGAGCTCAAGCTATCCACCCACCTTGGCCTCCCAGGAACCTGGGACCACAGGCATATGCCACCACTTCCAGCTAATTTTTTCTTTTATTTTTTGTAGAGAAGAGATCTCACTCCATTGCCAAGGCTGGTCTCAAACTCCTGGGCTCAAACAATCCTCCCACCTTGGCCTCCAAAAGTGCTGGGATTAAGGCATGAGCCATGGTGCCAGCAAAGGCTCCATCATCTTCAGCGTTTATTTTTAAAGTGACTTCAACTGGAAAAATCGTCTTTGTCTCTCGAGGTACTACATCCAGATGTGGCTTCCTCTTCATGTGCTAGCAAATCCCCTCTTCTCGTACCGGAGCCCCACCAACCCCGTTAGGGTCCTCAGGCACCCCTCCCATCCTCATTGCAGCAAAGGAGTTTCTGCTGTTCTCCTTCCACAGCCACTTTCTTCAAACACACTAGCCACCTGAATAGTTTATTTTATTCAACATCTTGACCAGTTAATGATATCTGCAACAAAGCTCGCAGTTATTAAATAAACCATTTGAGTTACCCCCTAAAGACAAGTAACAATCTAGCTGAAAGCCCAACTACCTCTGGCTATTTTAACAAGAAATAACTGCAGGCTATGAAGGGGAACATAGATGATTCAGCTTTGTAACAAGAAGAGTCAAAATCAACAGCAGAACAGGGAACGTGTTTTCCTTGATGAGAGGAAGCCCTCTGCCTGAGTATTCCGAGATTAGGAATCCGGTTTATGAGGCACAAACAATCCACTTTTTGCTCACAGAAGCATGGCACCTTAATCAGGTGTTAGAGCAAGATATTTAAAGCTCCCCGACTAAATGGCGTGGAGAGTGATCCATTATGCTTTGTTAATTACGAAATTAGCTCATCTTCCACCCTTGATCGAGCTCGGCCTCTGGGCACTTGGAGCCCCAGTGGTGAGGTGGGGACAAACTCTGGGGGCTGGAACTGAGCTGAGAGTGACCAGGAACCAGACGAAGATCCCCAACTGTGTTGGGGGGAGGGACAGGGACAGGGCGTTAAGCAGGAGAATCCTATGTGTGGGTGATCTAAGGGCTGTGCGTCTGAGTCTCGTGCTGAGCTGGCCAGGGGCCCAGCACTCAGGGGACTGTCTCTTATACACATCTTCTGAGTCTCGTGCTGCTGAGCTGGCCAGGGGCCCAGCACTCAGGGGACAGGACCTGGGTGGGCGCCCACCCCCACTCTGCTCCAGACCCAGAGTCCACTCTAAGGAGCGTTCTGAAACCTTGGGTCTGGCTGGGCAGATGAGTGCTTATCCTCCGAATGAGGCCTTGGCATTTTGGTCACCACTGTGTGACACAGGTGTTCAGACGGTGTCATGAAGGGAAAATAAAAACTTGGGACCCCAGTTCACTCTGCCGGAAGGAAAACAAATGAAGCTGAAAGCTGAGTCACGCAGGAAGCTGCCTTTCCTTTTGCTCCTCAGCAGAGAGCTACAGGGAAAAGGTTAAAACCTCCTCAGGTAGCAGCTCTGCGTTCACCTTATCTTGGGTGACACGCGGATTTACTGAGCACAAGACCATACGATGCGTAACTGATGATTCCTGTCTGCTCCTTTTCCCTCGCAGCCTGTGGATTCCGTAAGACCACACCCTCCCCGTCCCCTCCAGCCTGCTTCTCCCCTTTCAACAGTGAAGCCCTTGAAATCGCCCTTGAAGAAAGGCACAGACCTCAGACTGCCTCTGTGATCCTATGGTTTTGTTCTTTCAGGTATGTCCTCAACTTTGGCAAAATAAACTTCCAAGTTGATTAAGATCTGTCTCTCATACTTTTTGGTTTACAGGGTCAACTAGACAAGGCCGGTTCATGGTTTTGTTTTGTTTTTTTTTTCCTATTTAGGTTTCTTTTTATACCTGTAGCTCCAGTACATGTTTCTATGTGAAAATCTTTCTGTTTGAACTTCAGAGCTCTCACTTGCTAAGTCAGGCTAAAACTATTCTAGGGGCTGGGAGAAGCAATGTGGTATAGAGGAACTTGTGTTCCCACCAACAGAATTCACAAGCTGAAGTCTGAACCCCCAGTAACTCAGACTGTGGTTGTATTTGGAGACAGGATCTTTAAAAGGTAATGAAGTTAACATGAGGTCATCAGCACGGGCCCTAAAACAGTATAACCAGTGTTCTACTAAGAGGAGGAAATGAGGACTCGGAGAGGCTCAAGGGAAGACCAAGTGAGGACCCAGGAGGAGGACAGCATCCACCAGCCACGGAGAGAGGCCTCCGGAGAAACCAGCCCTGCCGACACCTTCACCTTGGACTTCTGCTTCCAAAACAGTGAGGAAGTGTTTCTGTTACGTAGGCACTGGGTCTGCGGTACTTCGTTCTGGCAGCCCTCGCCGATTCATACAGAATGCTATTTCTCCTTCTATGACCAAGTCATTCCCAAGAAAACCTCGCTTTTTGAGACAAAAGCCTTTTCAAGGGACAAAGTCCAGGGCCTGTTCACCAGCAGGGGTGGGCCTAATCACACCCACGCTGCCCCAAGTCTCCACACTTCATGCTTTTTATTACTGAAACACCACATGCCTTTTGGATTGAGTGAGAAGCTGTTCCTGATTTATACTTTATAAATTCAGATTTTCACGTTGGAGTTTGTTTACAGTGATACTCACCTATGCTCAGGCTTACAAAACTCCTCTCCAAATGTCTTTTCTTGGGTCCAGTGATGCTGTGTTGCATGCTGAGCTGGTCAGCAGTTGGATGAGGTTCTCTTGGTCAACGTGGGCAGCCTCCAGGTTTAGAGGAAGCAGGGACTCTATTCACCCTCCCCCATCACCTCTCTACAAGATAGTCACGGTGAAAGCATGTCTCATCCTAAATGCTGCCAAATGGACACTTAGCAAGCTGTCCCCAAAGTCGTCATGTAATCTGTCCCTCTAAGTTTTAGAGGGGCCCACGCTCGCTCCTTGGACCTCCAGACAGGCATTGGCGTGAGTTCTCTCCATGGCCTGAGCCCTGGCCTGGAAGCTAACCTGAAATGTATTCATTGGTCTTTTTGAAGACTTTATAAAAGGAAAGCAAATAAAGGATCTTGGATGCTTATTTCCACTCAAGTGGATCACGCTGCTGTCCAGTACACGTTCCCCAGCCACGGACGCTGGGCCAGACAGCAGGGTCCCTGGGGTCCACCTTTCATAGGAAAGATCCAGCCTCAGTTGCCAATGCCCTTCCCAGGGAGTCTTAGGAGGGTGGGCAGGGAGCAAAGGGCGAGCCCCTCCACCAGCTTAGAGTCAAGGAGAAGAAAAGCCACTTGTTTTTTATTTTGAGATGGAGTCTCGCTCTAGTGCAGTGGTGCGATCTCGGCTTACTGCAAACTCCGCCTCCCAGATCCAAGTGATTCTCCTGCCTCAGCCTCCTGAGTAGCTGGGATTACAGGTGCCCACCACCACGCCTGGCTAATTTTTGTATTATTTTTAGTAGAGATGGGGTTTCACCATGTTGGCCAGGCTGCTCTTGAACTACTGACCTCAAGTCATCCTCCTACCTCAGCCTCCCAAAGGGCTGGGATTACAGGCCTGAGCCACTGTACCCAGCCAAAAAGCCACTTTTAAAACTGCCCAGCCCCACTTCCAACTCTGCAGTCACCAAATAGATTATTTTACTAAAAGAGATTATTTCACTGTTAACAATTTCTT